CCCCCGCCCCAGGTCAGAATCACGTGGTTGCACGCGCTTTTATGAGGGACATGAGGGCACCCCCGGCTGGGCACACGCATGGTGTTTCAGAACTGCTGGTGACTGTTCCATGAAGCTTCCTCATCGAACATGCACCACGAAAAGACAGGGGGTTAGGTGGGTGGCCCCTTTGGTTCCAAAAATGCTCCCCATGTCTCCAGTACTCAATCTCTCCCTCTCTCTCTCCCGCTCTCTTTTTCAGTTTGCTATAGGGCATGTGCGCTCTCTGGAGACAAAGAGAGGGAAAGTGAGAAGTCACCCCCTGCCCTGCGGATGGCCACACCACACTTCCTTCTCCATTCTCTTGTTTTTCTTTCTTTTTTAAATTTTTAACAATTCTTTTGTTTAAAAAATGTATTTATTTAATTCCTTTTGTTGTTGTTGTTATTATTATTTAAATTTGACCAGAGACAGAGAGAGAAGAGGAAAACGAGCGAGCAAGCCACCAGGTCCAGGACCTGACCACAGTCAGCCATGTGGGACTCCAGCGCCTTTAACCACCATGCCACCTGCTGGCCCCTCTTCTGGTTTTCAGGTGCTCAGGTCCAGGGCTCAAACTGTGCAACGGGCCACGTGGGCTCCAGCACCTTAACCACCAGCTCCCCCCGGACTCTACTAAGTAGGCTCTTCCGGGGGCCGCTGTCCTATAGCAGGTTCCCCTACTTGACGGTGAAGGGGACCTTCCAGATGCTTTCGCCAACCCCAAACAAGAGGTGCCAGGGTCTGGAGGGAAAAGCCTGCAGGGAGAGAAGCAGGGGAAGGGTTGTCTGTCGTCTAAGGCAGAACTGGGGCTTTAAAACACAGACAACTTTGTTTATTTTCAGCTTGGTCAGAGAGGGACGGAGTGAGAGCGAGAGGGAAAGTGAGAAGCAAGTCGCCAGGTCCAGGGCTCAAACTGCAGTCGGCCACGTGGGAGTCCAGCGTCCCCAAGCACCGCGCCACCTGCCGGCCCCAGAACTGGGGCTTTGAGGTCAAGCAGGGCTTTGGCCACGCCACCTCTCACTTGGTCTCCAGCGAGCTCCTCCCTGAGCCCCGTTCTCGAGCTTATAAAACCGGGTCCACATACACCTCTGAGGGTGGCGGGGAGGACGCCGTCGTGGGCGGGGGTGCAGGGGAAACGGGGTGCTCGTCAAGGTGACTCACATGAGCGGTTCTGGTCCGTGCCCAGGCCTCCCTGAGCACACCGGGCACACACGTGGGGCGGAGCGTGGCGTGAAGACCCTGCAGGGTCCTGTCTCTCGCACACGGAGGAGAGGCGTGAATAGGCCCGGCGCACCTTAGGGAGAGCGGACTTAACACGGCCACATAAGGGACAGGGGTGCAAAGAGCCCGGACGCGACGCCTGCCTGGCCAGCACCGCCACCATCACTGATGAGGCGGGCACCCGGGGCACCCGCGTCCCCACACTCGGGACAGCTGGTCTCGAGGAGCGAAGGCGCCGTGTTACCGCGACTCCATCTCTCCGCCTTACCACAGACCTTCCTGGCAGCCAGGTCACCCGAGTGGTGCCGCAGGCGGGCAGAGGCGCTCCCCACCCACCCACCTGACCCTGTGACCTAGCACCAGAGAGCGACCAGGACTTGTCAAGGTCAGGGGACCACAGGCAGGAGATGAGACCCTCTGATTCTGGGCCCGGGGTGACCCCAAACCCATTCCGCCCACCACCCCCAAGACAGAGGCCCACGGCAGCCTCTCCCCGGAATCGGGCCTCCCGAAGGATGCCGGG